TAGTCGAAATTTAGAAAAAATATTATAATTATAAAAGATTAGGATCAACTTAATCAAAAGATAATAATCAAATAAGCATTCAAAATGAAAAAAAGTTAAATAATAAGGAAATATTTATCCAATAATGAGATTTTATAATAAAAAAAAAGTGTCATTAATGAATTTTTCGTTCATTTAGTCGGAAATTTTGACCCTTTTAGACAAGTCAGTCGCCAAATGTAGACAGTCAGTCGTCAAATTTAAGCCAGAAAGTCAGCAAATTTAAGCCAGAAATTGTAATGTGCCGGCCCTGATAACTGTGAAACTCATAAATTTGTTTCTAAATCTTTTATTTTGGTTGTATTTAAAAAACTCAGATCACAAACAAGACGTAGACTTTTTATATAATTTTTTTTTTCTCTCTGCTCAGAATACACAATACAGTTTTTTACTTTGGCAGCTTTAAGTTTTCTATGAGGTTTGGTGCGCATTTTAAAACATTTTAAAATGAGACGCAGCTTCTGCTTCTGATTTCTAACCAAATGTTAGAATAGTCTTGAATCTGAAAAAAAAACGTTTAGATGTACTATCTTAGTCTCAATGAGGCTGTTCACGGACACTCGGATACCCGCTCGTTGATTACTGACCGGTAGCATTGTTAAAGATGGATAACCATCATTTGATAAGATTAAAATTTGTTTCATTCATTTTTATAGTGTAATATTAATTGTAGTATAAAAATTTAATATTATTATTTTATGTGCAATCTTAAAGACCTTGCAGTTAAAAATTTCAATAGTTATTTTCTAAAATTGCAGATTTGCTTAAAAGGGCTTTTACAATCTCGCAAAACTACGGTTTCTTTATCACCATAAAAATTTCTGAAAACATTCTACATAACGTTTTTTTTTAAATTATTATTTTATTAGTAATTTTAACTGCTATAAAAGGTTCTAACGGTCTTTTCAAAGAGCACTCCGTTATACCATTTAACCAGAAAGTTTACGCTCGGCCCTTACCAATGATGCATAAATGGCCGACTTTGAACTACGGAATTCAAGTTCCAAAGCCAGAACTCTAACCACTACACCACAGCTGCAACATTTGGGAAGTTATTTGAGTTTTTGATTCATATACCCACTTATTATTCCTATATGATGATTAATTTATTTCTTATATGCATTAGGAACTTTTTCAACTTTTTCTAGTAGATGTGCGTACTTGCGACTTCAGTGCCATCAGTTTTTTATTATGATATTTGTTTTGTATCACAACATGGCAAAGACGCCTTTTTATAACTCGATAAACTAACATCCTGCGTCCGCCACTGATATTGTCCGCGCACAGTTTTTAATTACTCAACTATTAAACTACAGCCTTCTTTATTATCCTTATTTTTTTTTTTTTATATATAAATTTGTTATTAAAGTATTTAATATTAACTTCATCTTTAGCTCCTTTCTAGACAAACCTTACAGAAAGTACAAACTCGACAAACAGTGGCTTTGCTAACAAAAATTAGAGAAGAAGGGGGGGAGAGGACATACTGTTAAATGTTTAATGTTAACATTTTTAGATATTTAAATATTAACAATTATCGCAAGTTTTGGAGGTTTTGAAAAAAAAATTTCAAAATTTTAGAATGACATTATTTGCATTTTTCATAATATAAAAGAAGTTATAATTAATTGCTTGTTACTTAAGTTGTAACTCTAATTTAGTTCAAACCTTGGCGAACCTTTTCGAAGTATTTAAAATTCTTTGGATCAAATTCCACACGTAATAAAAACCGTTTTAATCTAGTTTTGAATTTCTTTTCAATTTTAACAATTAAGATACATTTTCGGAATAATTAATTTGTATCTTTAAATTCTTAAAAGTCTTAAAGTCTTATTCAAACTTAATTAGAAAAAGGTTTGAATTTAGACTTCATACAATAATTGACTTAAGTCAATTATGTGTATATTAACGTATTGCATTTTCTAACATCGTGAGCAATTTTGTCCGCTTTCTCTATGCTATCTTTATAATTCGACTACTTCTGACATTTATTCTAACATATCTTCAATCTTCCCAAAATCACTTTACTTTTGATCCTTAGAGCGGGTTATGACGCTCCTTGGGGAGCCGAACTTGACTTTGTGGGCTTTGGTAATGTAGTTTCTATGTAGTTTCGGCAACTATGTAGTTTCTATGTAGTTTCTATGTAGTTTCTATGTAATGTAGTTTCGGCAACTAGCCGGAGCAGGATAAACCACAATACCAATTTGTATCTTAAAATTAACTCTTTTAACTTGGTAAAGTTGGTGCCCAGTAAATACTAATTATGCCAATGCTCTAGACGTATACAAACTAAACAATAATTAAAATTTAATGGTTATATTTCAGTCAAATTTTTCTTTAATTAATTAAGAAATACTTAAGAAAAATTACATTGATAATTTTTATATTCCCCAAAATCGCCTAAAAAATCTTGTCGAGATAATTAATGACATATTATTAGAGACTTGTGGAGATAATT